AAAAAAAAAAAAAAAAAAAAAAAAAAGTGTGCCTTACCTGTTCATATCTCCATCACCATATTCAAAGTCAGGGATGAGATAAAAGTAGATTAGTGACCCTGTAAATATTAAGATGACTAACTAATAAGGAAAATTAGAAAGAAAATCTTTACAATAGTGGTTACTTTTTTAACAGGTGAATGAAAGCCAGTGGCTGTCTTTTCTGAAGATATTTAGGGTGTTTTTATGGTTGATCTCAATTTAGTAGACTTTTGGAAAAATTGCAAATGTAATTACAAAAATGCAAATGTAAATTTACAAATGGAGAATTTAAAATGTGTACAGTAATTAGCATCATCTCAGACCATCTGTGGAATAAAGTTGTGATAAATAAATAAGTAAACCTCATTAGCATTTTTCTAAGAAAAACCATGATATTTAAGATTAAGTCACTTTTCAAAGGTAGTAATCATATTTGTAAACTCTAATCTCAAATTTACTTCTATCCACATTAACCGAAAATTCAGAATTAACTCCATTTTCCTAGCCTTGGCAATATATGTATACTGAAGCTAGCAGCAAATTGAATATATTTGATAAAACCTGATATTTAGAAAAACTGTACAACTAACTTATTCAATGAAATGTGTCATATCTGCTTGCAGTAATTATTGGTTAAATGTAATGCCAAATGCTGATTATAAACATAGCTTAGAGTCAATACTTCTGAGATGTACTTCCTATTAGATTGTCGTTACAGTTCATTTCACAAATTCTTAATTTAATATGTAAAGCCTAAATCTTCCTAAATCTAAATGACATTCTTATTAAGGATTCTTAATTTGTATTGAGAGTAAATGAAATAAAACATAATTATAGTTTGTGACCAATTTTAGCACTGAAAATGATGACAACATAGCTCTATTAAATGTTTAAGCTTTTCCAAATAACTCTAATTTTAAGATAACTCTAATTTTTCCCTTATTTCTATAAATAAGTGATTTGCTTAGCAATATGTTTTGAAGACTCTTTTCTTTTCAACTCCAATAAACTTGTTAGAGCCTGTATAATAATTTAAACTTTGTGGTAGGGTTATAATGTTTAGGTCATGGCTATGGCTTAAATTTTAAACCTTTTCAAAGTTTTAAAATTATAAATTTCATTTTCTTTTAGAAATACACAAAGATAAGACTGAAAAACAGGAGAAACCTGAAAGGAAAATACAAACTAAAGGTAAACATTTAATTGTATGTTTATTCTTCATTTAGATCATTTGGAGGTATCATTTTTGTGTATTCATATGGAAGAAAGAAAAATTTTCCTGTTTAGTGCGTTTTGTAACATTTTTGGTATTGTTTAAATAATACATTTACTCCTCAGTTAATTTCAGTTATAAACATTTAAGTGACATTTAATAATTAGAATCAAAGTAACTCTAAAATGTGTGACAATTTTTCAATTATTTACAACTGGTTTCTACTTACTAAGGGAATAGCTCAAATATATATTGACTTACTGAGGAAATACTTTTTTTTTCTTTTAAGAAGTTACTGTAACTTGTCAGAGTTGATTTTTTTTTTTACCTGAATTCCTTCTGTCATGCAATAAATATCTTTACAATCTGGTGTACAAATGCAGAGTCATTATATGACCTCATGGCAGAGGTCATATAAGAAATCCCACAGCTGTCTTGCACAGCCTCAAGGGATAGTTGGACAGTGACAACGTGATGATTGATATCACTTTCAACTGAACTGAATCCAGTAACTGCAATCTTGCAGCAGAAACATATTAAGAGGCCAACAATGTCTTGCTCATCTTAAAAGCATTGCTTTTAAGATGGGGTGAAGAGATAATCACAAAACTTTGAAGAAAGTAATAGGAACCAAGACATTTGAAAATATATTCTTCTAAGCATGCACAGGATTTTCCAATGTTCAATTTCACATAATTTTGAAAAATACAAGGTAAAAATAAGGATCTCATAATAACTGTATTTGTATAATACAGACAGAAAATGAGATAATTTGTTTCTGAGATAAAAATGGAATTTTATCCTGTATTTACTATGTCAAAAACTGGCTAATGCAAAATTATCTGTAGTAAGTACCACAGTTGCAGATAGTAAAGTTTCAAATAATGAAAGTTTCAATTAAATTATATTAGCATATGAATTTATATTATTACAATGCCATGTTGTTGCTGTTGTTTTTAAATTATACTTCATGTACTTCCTTTTTGTGAAAGGCTCAAATCATTCTACAGATATTATGTCTTTAATCCTAATGTTTGAATTCATTCTAAATTGGTCAGCCAATTCTTCAACAATCAGAATATTGAAGCTCACTCACTTGAAACCTATTTATATTTGTACTTAGGAAACTAATGTCTTCTTACTGTTCTCTTTCCCTTTTTGTGGTTCTTAATTCCTTTGGTCATAGAGGTTGGATACAGCTCTTGAGTGCGGATTGATTAAGTGAACCATGACTGAACTGGCTCTGTGCTTCTATCTGCTGAAGGTTAAAAAGAAACTCAACTGGTTCCACACCATTTGGGTCTCTGCTATTTTTTTTTTCTTGCAGACTGTGCTATTAATTTAATAACAGTGCTGCTGGAATGGAGGTAGTAACGCAGATGACACCATTTGCATTTTGGACCTGGCTATTTTAGAATTCTGATGTCAAAGACTTTGAGCAGTGGGCTGTAGAGTGGGTTTATTAAACTAGCAAGTCTTCCATAATTAAAACAGTGACTTTGGCTGAAGTTTAAAATAAATTTCTCAAAGACTGAGCTGGAGATTATTAACCTGAATATATTTCTTGAGTAGACCAAATGTATTTTATAAAAGTAACTATTTCTCAAGAAAGTGAAAGTAGAGCTTCAGCTTTTCCACACTGCCCTGGAAACCAGAGATAGCTTATTTTTTTCCACAAATTTCTTGTGGGAATATGAACAAAAGATTTCACTTTATTGCTTAGTTTCCTAACTGTAAATGAGGTAGCCTAATGCCTGCTCTTTATAGTTCAGTGAAAAGAAATGTTTTGTTTTATAACTGATCTTGTATGTAGATAAATAATGTTTTCTGTATGCCATGCTCCATGTCAGTTATGATTGTATGTGATGGATAGTTAGGAATTTAAATTATTATCAAAACATTTTGAACCCTTAGAAGAAAAGATAGAGTATTTGAAAGGTAATAGTAGTCTGTGATGACTGTAAATGAGTCAATAAGTATCTGAGTCTAAAAAGATTCATTATGCTCAAGCTGGTGTGTTTTGGGGGGAGACAAAAGATTTTGGTTATGGTGGAAGCTAGATCACATTCTATTTCTCTTTTTTTCTCTCCTTCAAGGGACAATATGATATTCTAAAAGTTTTTAGAATCGTGGAACTCACTGGGAGAGCCTTGGGAGTCTATACCTATATAATTGACCCATCAAGTGGGGTTTTTTAAGAAAAGCCACAGGCCGGGCGCAGTGGCTCACGCCTATAATCCCAGCACTTTGGGAGGCCGAGGCGGGTGGATCACGAGGTCAAGAGATCAAGACCATCCTGGCCAACATGGTGAAACCCCGTCTCTACTAAAAATACAAA